GGTGGGGGGGGGGAGGTAATTGCTCTTTCAACAGACAAGCATGGACTTCCATCTTCCAATGACAAAAACTAAACATATTAATTTGCCGATCCAAAGATTGCCGATCCAAAGATTGCCATTCATTCTCTCCCCATGAATGATTTTGTCCCGCTACCCTGACAAAAGTCCCCCGTTGGCAAATTTCTGGAGCCACCACTGCCTAGCATTACATCTGGAGTTTTATTCTCTAGATGTATTTGTGATCCTCTTGTCAAGACCATTTTGATTGGAGAGGTTTTTTTTTTAAATTTTTATCAATATTCTGCTAATATCAAAAGAAATGTTATTAATTGGTAGAGCAATCATTTTTCCTAAGCATGGACTATTTATCATTGAGTTCACGTCAACCTTACCTTATCTCACCCAATATTACTTTGGCTGCTATTGGTGTTGACATCACTATGCTATTGGATTATTAACTATTTCAGATAAAGTTTTTTTAATTTAAATTAATCCCACATTCTTCACAACGTCTTTAAATTGTTTTTGTAAATATTTTCATTACGCTTCCAATATCATTTAAAAAACAGTGCATAAAACTCTGTAATTCTATATTGGATTATGCTACTGAAATGTATTCCTGGTAAAATATGTTGTAAATTAAATTAAATTAAATAAATTTCACATCGTTATTTATTTACTATTCAGACAACAATATCTTGGGACTAACAGAATTCTTGGGCCCACCTAAACCAAACTTAACTTCATGCTTTACTATATACATGTAAAATAAAATTGTATACACACCAAGATATTTTGTGAGCATGCACAATTAGCTTTAATGCTTGGTTTTATTTTGTAGTACTTTTTTTTACAGTGTTTATGCAATGAAGAATTTGAAAAGTTCTGAAATTTAATTTTGTTTGGGTTTTTTTTAATTTTTTATTAATATTTAAAAATAACATGTTCATATACTGTAAAACCTAAACAATATAAATTGTAGTTGTTTTCATACCTGTGTGATTGTTATTGTGATCTATTTTGTCATAATATTTTGGATGTGATAATATAATATCTTGTTTTAAAAGTCATTAGCATGTCATTTTGTATTGTAGTCATTCATTAAATGGTTAAAATATAGTGTTATTGGATAATGTGTTATTGGGAATTAAATATTATTTCCATTGTTTTTTAAAGGAACAGGCTCAACAACCAATAGTAAATCAAGAAGCTCTAAAATTACAACAAGAAGCTAAAATAAATGCAGTCAATGCTAACCAGGCGCAAATCCCCCAAGCCAATCAAGTACCACCACAAGGCAATCAAATCCCCCAGGCCAATCAGGTCCCACCACAACAAGGTAATGAAGTCCCCATGGCTGCAGGGCAACAACCACCGGCCGTACAACAACCGCAGGCCGGGCAACCACCACAGGCAGGGCAACAACCAGAGGCTGGGCAACCACCACAGGCAGGGCAACCACCACAGGCAGGGCAACCACCACAGGCCGGGCAACCACCACAGGCTGGGCAACCACCACAGGCTGGGCAACCACCACAAGCAGGGCAACCACCACAAGCAGGGCAACCACCACAGGCTGGGCAACCACCACAAGCCTAACCGCAAGACACAGCAGCACAGAAAGTAGTGCATGATGATGGTGAAAAACAGTAAAAAGGGACATTCTGAACTTTGGATAACATTAATTGGTGCAATTAAGCATAATAGACAAATGAAAAAGAATTAAATACAGTACAAGTTTATTTTTCTATTTCCTATACATGTACCAATTCTAAATTATAATGCCTGGAATTCCTTAAATCATCTACATAAAGTCATGATGGTATGGTATATGGTTAGACTATAATGTTGAAAATAGCTGATATTCTTTAATGAAAAATGATTTCTGCAATATTAAACTTGTTTGTCTGCACATTTTGTTTGTATTATTGATTATTTGACTAATAGGGCTAATAATAGGGGTTTATGGTCATGTGATTTATCATAATTTTAAGTATTATGCAATTACCTTGAGGAGAATGTGGGACCACCCATGGAGTATACCAACTTGACCTCATAGCTCAGTTGAACTCTGAACATCTGAGAGTCTTGTTTTTAATTTCAATATAGAACATATATATTAATTCTTGAGGTTATTCTGCTAGTTCATTAATTTTGCAATTTTTGTCAGCTACACTACAACCTACTCTTATTATTTTTAAAAATTTTTGTACAGTATTTGAAAATCATTGCAGTATACATTTCTGGTTATTTAAATGTTCAAAAGTACTGTACAGTTATTAAAAGTGACAATACAATTTTTGTGAAGAGTTGTCTTACTTTCAAAATTGTTAATGTATGGATTCATTGAATGATATTTTTATCTGGACGCCTTTCACCGACCGACTGTTAGCCGAAGTTTGGTCCTGAAGGATTTAAAAATAAGCATCTTTCTACCAATCTACAGCTTTAAAATGTTAATAATTTAACAATTAATTGCTAATTATTGTAAATTCCCTAATATATTAAAAATTACAATTTTTGCCCATATATGGTCACAGTTTTAGTCACTTCTGGTACAGTTTTTAGCATATTTGTTCTTTGTGATAAATACTGTATTTTCTCATTTTAAATAAGCCCACCTCCTAATTTATGCACAATTTTACATACTAATCTTTCCTCAGGCAAAAAATCAATGATTGGCTTTAAAACAGCCATGCAATGCCTTTTGCTTTGAAAAGGAGGTATCTGGGTACAGTATAAGCTTATACCAGAGGAAATATACAGTGGTAGATACTGTAAGTTAAACTTTTCACTATGTTAATATATTAAAAGGAAAAAAAAGGATTGCAAGGATGATTTTTTTTGCAGTCTGACAGTGCCATTTCTGGGCTTCTAATAAAGGTGCCTATTCTAAAAAAAAATGTCATCACCTCAGCCTCAATCATGGTGGGCCTGAGGTGGGCGTGGCCTTTATTTGGTACCTACACTTTTTCCTCATAGAATATAGTGCCCCCAACATCATTAAACGAATCTTCCGGAAATGGGTTCTTCCAACTTGGGACCCCTGAGTATGTTATAACATATAGGCAGGTAACAGGTGTCTAATGCCCATATTTAGTCAATATGTGCCTGTTTATGGTCATGATGTGATGTCATCATGACCATATTTAGGCTTGTCACATGTTTTTTGTCAAATTAAATTTATATTCTAGACTTTGTTTAAAAATGTCTTGAGTATGTGTGGTTTCAAAAGGAATGTTTAATTTATGTCTTTAAAGGAATATAATTTTAGTACGTATTGCATTTGTCATTTACTTATTATGCACAAAGAATTAAACTTTTTGGCACATATGATGCATATTAATCGCATGATGATAAACATGTTAACTGTCAACTACTAGTATTTGTATTACAATGCAAGTGTGGGCCACCAGGAAGGTTCTCATGGTGTATTTTCAATTAAAAATGCTGACACCTTGTCAACTCAACAATAAAATGTGGCAGTAATCATAACATGGTAAACACTTTTTTGTTGAAAGATTTACTACCAACTTTTTAAGTGCTAATACTGTTTGTAGATTCTAACTTCTAATAAATGATTATACAGTACACAGTACTGTATTTATCATTTAAAAATTCTGGTTGATAGTAAAGACTGTCTTGTATTTTTTATGGAAATAAAAGTGCTAGAAAACCAAGTATCTAATTAAATGTCTTTATTAAACTCTGGAATTTTTTATTGTCATAATTTACCTCTGAAGAACTGGCATAAATGATTAATATTGAGCTAGTAAACATAAAATATTTTAAACACATATTCATTATAGCTGAGCTGTGGTTTGTTTGGTTAGGATGCTAGCCTTCCAGTCCCAATGTCTTGTGTTCAATTCAGGGGGAAAAGTTTCAGGATTCTCAAAATTAAAAACTGGAGCTGTTAAGCATCTTTCACTTAGTATGAAAATATTGCAATAGCATGCTGGTATGCTTATCAACAAGCACTATTTCATTGTGTTAAAATTACCTTAAGGTTGTTGTAATTTAACGCCTTTATCAATGAAACATACAGTAGAGTGCCGTATCACTAGATACACACAAAAAATGTGTAAAACTGTATTCTATTTGTGTAGCTGAACTGGGCTTCAGTTTCCAAGAGGAGCCCAATTGCACTTAATAGTTATGTCGGCTCAGGGCCAGCTATTTTCAACAATCAGTAAATTTTAAGTCGGTCCAATGGCGACCTAAATTTGGTCTGCGATACGAGACCTGGGTCAAATCATATTTGACAACTTGTACCATAACATTTCCTGTCATGCAATTCATCGATCTGGAGCAAAGGAGGAAGTGCGACTCTGAGCTGACTTGAAATACTAACAGTGAATGGAACAGTCATTTTTAAGTCAGTTGTAATCAACAACTGTGATTGGGCTGAAGAGATCTGAGAATCATATGATAGACTTTTATTCACTCCCCAAAGCCTTATAAAGAGATTGCAGTTTAGAAAAGCATAATACAGTAGTATATTAAAAAATATGTACTAAATTGTGCAACAAAAACACTTGGAATACCGTTGCAAAGCACAACTGCAACATTAGTGATGAACCCACGAGCGACTTGTGCGAATATAAGGTATTTGTCTACATCGAAAAAAAGGTATTTGTCTACATCAGGATTCAAACCGAAGCGCCTCCAATTATTTGTTTGCTCTACCAACTGATGATCGATGAGGCCTAGCTGGAGCAATTAAAAAATTCAATCACAATAACTAAATATTTTAGATCATATATTTATTATGTGACTACTGAATACACAAAAATATTTTTTTGCACAGTAAAGGAATATAATGCAAATTGCTTAAGAAAATGTTCTTCCAAAAAATATCCTGAACATATTATTTGAGCACAGATAGCACCAGCTTCCGAGCAAACAATCTGATCTGGTTGTTAATATTGGCAAGGGGGCATGACCTCTCTCCCACCAGCTATCAATGAGGATGAGTATCGTAATAGCGTTTCTTAAGGGTCCTATACTTCCGTAGCATATACAGAGCTTCTAATTCTTTACAGACATACTCTCCTCTTGCTATGAGTTCCTCAATTTTCTCGGCATCGTCAACATCCTTGTTCTTCATGAAGGCAGCATGGCAACGCTTCCGGAAATACTCTTCACCCTTTGGATATTCTTTACCAAGATGAATTAACTACAAAACAAAAAAAAACAAAAAAAACAAAACATGTTTTGATGAAGTAATGTGATTACAAAATTAATCAAGACATTTACAGTAACAGAAGCATTAAAGCATTTCTTAATCATAAATTAAGTGTACGCTATTAATTAATTATAAACTTCCTCATCCAACATTCTTATAGTTATATATCATTGACATGCTCCCATAAAATATATTGGGCTTTTGCGATTTACTCGCCAGACATAATATATTTTCCTCTCAAAATTAAATAAAACGATTAGCAACAGACTATTGAATTCTTTAACACGACGCCTCAAACAGTGGACGATATCAAAACCAAACCAACTCAAATTTGCATGGAAAATCGCTAGAGAAATAGGTGTGCAGTATTGTAACCAATACTGCTTAATACATAAGTAGTATAAGAGATGGGACAAGGCCTAATATTCTGCAAACATTGTGCGGAAGATCAGTCCTTTTTTTCTGAAATGCGCAGACGGAATTCTAAGCCTAATTTTTGTGCAGTGGAAAAATTCCTGTGAAAGCCTTATTTTACAGTCTGCATGTTATGTCTTTATTTCAAATAAAACTTACATTTTTGTACAACTGTTTTACAGCATATCTTAGTTGGGTAGCTGTTGCCATATTTTCAGTCAAGCTGCTTTACTGTGCTCAACATCGTCCTTAGAATTTACTCTGCATGCAGTGTACTCTTGTACTTTAGTAGCAGGCCTAAGTACATCTAGCCTAGGCCTTATCTCCTAAACAAGAACAAAAATAACTCGGACAGTTAAATAGCATATCTTGTGTACAATTTGAGACTTTTGCACAATTTGCAAATTGTGCAAGCTCTTCCTTGCACAATTCGCAAACTCTGCAAGGCTCAATGAAAATATTAGACTCCTATATAGTAATTTATGCAATTCTTTATTATTATTTATTCCCACGCACACATCACCTGCAGTAGGCCTATCTTTTATCAATGAAAATTCTCTGATCGCTTAAAAAAATATTGAAATTGCCGTATATCATTATCAAATACGTTAATATCAATATCAATAAATAAATTTAAATGTCACATTTTACGATACATGCTAAAAGAAACCTTGCACAGTTTGCATACTGCAAGCACAGTCTGAAACGACTTTGAAACAAAATCAGCTAGTTCAAAATGTGCAATTGTCAAAAGGAACAAATTGTGCGAAACACACATACACTCACTGAACCATTAAATTTTGAATAGGCTTCTAACAGGTAACAGAGAATTACTGTTGAAGGCGAAATTACGCCTATTGTTAACCGCTCTACTAGTACTACTAGGCTTCTATTCTAAACTACTAAAACAAGGCCAGTATTATAGAAAATGTGTTTAAACTTTTCAAAGCTAGGTCGCCTAGCCTATGTGATCAGACCAAGGTTAGGACTAGTCCTTGAATTAAGGGCATAGCTAGGCCTAGGCCCTAGTTTGTAGGCTACCTGGCTATTCGCCAGGCGCAAGCCAAGCCAAGGCCCAAGGAGTTGGCCTAGGACTAGGTAGGCCTACTACTAGGCCTAGGCCTAGTCTAGGCCTAACTATCCTCCTAGACCTGGCCTGCCTATCCATAATACTTAAGGTACAAGCAAAATATAAAAATATTAAGTCTACTAAATAGACAATTTAATCCAATTCAGTTAGCATAACGTACCAGAAAACAACAATTTTTAATTAACAATCGGTAACAAGCGCAAGGTCAACAAAATTGAAAGATATCATTAATCATGTTTTGTCGTCGTCCGTCCAGTAGTTATAGCGCCGCCAGGCGACGCTATGTAAAGGAGAACAGTGCGCGAACAGTTTCCTTAAGAAGTGGGGGTTGCCTTAGAGGACAAGTCCTCCAATTTCATCCGTTCAGGCAACTTTTGGATTAGCATTATGCATCACAAAGTCTAGTCTAGTCACCATATATACAACATAAATATATTATACAGTATTATATTTTTACATATGAACGACTTTTGTAAAGTCGTTAGTGAAATAATAATATTAATAATAATAATAGGTCTAATACATTCTACAGAGGTGAAGATAAAGCAAGAGTTGGAATTTAAAACTAAACAACTTGAGTTTGAGAAAATGAAATTTGAAATGGGAACAGGCCAGAATGGATTTTGAGACTCGGGAAAGACGAGCGATGCTTGATTTAATAGAGTCCTTGCTCGTGACAAAAATTCTACAGTTTAAAAAATAAATCAAACATAGGAACAATGTAATTATGGCAAGGTTTAAATGTTATTATTTCACAACTTGCCAATTAGTAATGCATTAAGTACAAAAAGGTAGACCTACCTAAATAACCAAGGATAGGTCGAAAAATGGTTTTCTCTAAATAGTGTTTTTAAAGTCAATATCGTATTTGTTGTTCTTTTTATTTATTGTACTGTAACACACATAGAACATCCAGCTAGCCACATGGACAAAGATGATCGAACGCTCAGTTGAGCATTATTTTACATTTTTTATTTTATTTTACATTTCTTTCCAATTTTTGTATTGTATATCATTATTGTATTGTTTACAATTATTGTATAAATGTCATTTAAATTGAATTGAACATGTATTATTTAAGAATTGTACATATATTTTTTTTAGTACTGATAATGCTCTCTCCATATTAACAAGGTAACTAATTTCTCTACGACTTGAGCAAAAAGAGAAAACAGAAATGAAACATTTCTAAAAACAATTTTTATTTTGTAAAAATGACAATGAAAACAAAGAATTTTTACATGTTCAATAAATAAAACAATTCACTGCCACACCAGTAGCCAAGCGGAAGATAACTTGTTAATAATTATATACAAACAATTTGTACAAGATACATACGTAAAATAATACCAATATTTTTCTCTACATATTAAAGAAGATACTGCCACCCAATAAGTCAACCCTCATAAATCAAGGATGAATATTTTAATAGTTCATTTAAAAGAACTTTCAATAAGTCAAAAGATCGAATAAAAATTAGTTTCAATGAATTTTGAATATTTAAAAACTGGGGAGAAGGCAGCGTAAACAGCGGTGGCACCAGAAATTTGCCAACAAGGGGTCAGACACAGGGGTTGGAACCAAGGGGTGCTGACCAGAGCCTTGGTTGACGGCCCAGAATAAAACCATCCCTGGTAGGTTCACTAGGGTTTTTATGGGTTGTTATCGCCCAAAATGTTCCTTTAGACCACAATATTAGGGATTGGCAAACAAAATAACGTTATTTGGATATCGATCTGAAAAACTACTCGTGCATCGGACGATAGGGGGTTCAGGCATGTCCGACGGGAGGGCAAATTCCCCCTGCTGCCCCTCCCCCACTGGCGCCACCACTAAGCGTAACGTCCCCCAGTTTTTAAATATTCGAAAAGCTTTATCTTATTATCTGTTCCCAATTACTACTTCAACCACCCCTTCTGTGTCTTTCAAAAAAATTCAGTTGTACAACACATCAAGAATGTTTCCCACTTGAGCCCATGGCTGGCTACACAGACAATGGCAGGCTTAAGTGCCCCTTTTGCAGTCTGTACATGCAAAGGCTATGTGCTACTTCACAGCCAATGAGCTAATCACAGGATAGGAGGCAATAGATATTATATTTTTATTCAAAGGATAAATACAGAGTACTAAAAAATGTGCTGTGTATGTGTGCAGTACACTGATTAATACCTGCACAGTAATAAAATAAGAGCAACAGAGAGCATTGAGCAACAATTTTTCAACCATTGCAATCTGACAAACATTAAAAAGTAGGCAATGTCTATAGTTACACCAGTCTTGAAAGAATTCTTAACTGTGATTGGGTGTTATTGAATGCATGGGCTGGATAAGAACAATAACATCCAATCAGAATTAGGCATTCATTGAAGACTGGTGTAGCTATAAACACTGCCTAAAAAAGTATGCACCATGTGTTTCATAAAATAAAACTGCATAAAAAACATATAACCTACTGCAGGCCTATTGTTATAAAACACAGCACCAAAAGGTATGGATGATTATAAATTATGACTACTAGTCAGTTCACCATTGAAAATTATTGTGCAATATCTTTAACAATATTACTCCCACTTCAATACATAAAAAGTTACTTCATAATGCCTTCCACAATATCCACACAGCTCTAGTGCAATATCCACAAAAACTTGCACCTTGATTTTTATGTTTATCATAAATTTTTGGTACTTCTCAGTACTTTGTTATATTTTTTTGTACACAATACTTAACAATAAGCACCATGTGAAACAAATGCAATGTATACATTTTAGAGTGTACATGCTGGTATATATAGCAATAAAGCATTTACCTAATCTTCATCAATTGGTAAAGTTTTCAAAAATCTAGATATAAATCATTTTGACCTGTTCTAACAGTATGATATGTCATTATAACATGGAAGGTTATGCCTCTCCCAAGATGATTTCTCAACACATGATTTTTAATACTGTGTAAAAAAAATCTATAATGTTTATTATCAAATATCAAGATAAGCCTATTTATACATACTGATACCTGTTTTAGGTATACAATGATATGTTGCCACAACACAGTAGGCTATGCCTCTCGAAAGAACTTTATAGACAAAAACATGATGTACTGCATGAGCTTTGTAATACATCAAACATTAACATAACATCCTTTTGCCTAAGTTTTTAATTTAAATAATTAATTATTTAATCAAAATAATTATGTTATTTTCATCGAATAACACTGCATGATGAAGTATATACCGAAGTCTCAAAGTGTACACGTAATCCCAGCCTCCTCTGTAATTGATATACTTTCGTTAATGCAATTTTATGATCGATGTTACGAGTAGAGCCTTTTCTTTGCAGTTAAAAAGGGCTTGGACGAACTCAATCCTACAAATTTCAACTAAGCACATATGATTAGAGCACAGGGGTGAACCCTTACTCTTCCCCTACTTTTCTAAGAAGGATGTCCTGGTTGATATTTTAAGTGCACATGATTAAATTTGCATATGCCTATGGTTTATAGTAAATTTCAAAGACTTAAAAATTATGGTTTGGATGGTAGAACCAAGTCCTTATACAAATGATGTCATTAACTGTATCGTTGGAGCTCCAGTGAGGTTTTACTATGGTTAAAAATAGTAATTACTCTAATTGTTTTGCATTACCATATATATTTTTTCCCATATTTTCATCACAATACATCCAGGCAGGAATGTTCAGTTTGGAATCAAATTAGATTTTCATCATGGACGGATATAACACAACTTGAGTATGCATAGCCTAAATCACTGGAATGTTTATAACAAGGCAGAATTTAAGGGGACCCTGTTCCCCCACCTAGGTCACGCATCACAAGATACTACTCTTGGTATCTGTGATTGTACAAAGTACTGATAGCAAACACATAGAAACACCTTTAATTTCTGGGAAGCCCTATCAGGAAATCAATTCAATTTTACAATTGCCTCTTAATAATAATAATAATAATAATAATAATAATAATAACAATAATAATAATAATAAATATCAGTATTGTTTAAAGGTTTGCATGGCGAAGTAATAACATATATGTTGAAGCTTGCGATACACCACGTAGGTAGTTCTGAAAAGAACTGTTGTAGTAGAGAAAGTCTTGACGTTCCGAGACTTAAATATAATATCAGAAAAAGAATGCTGTTCAGAAAAGTCTTTTTTAACTTATATTTTGTCTCAGGTTTTATCCCACCCCACCCTCAACTAATAATATATCCAACTATAGTATTTTAATTATATATCAGACAAACCTCTGCATCATACATATATACACCCTCTACCCCAACAAACACACATATTAATATTGCAATAAGTTAACAGACAGAAATAAGGCATTTATGGCATCCTTTATAAAATGGTCTTAGTATGTGCTAAAACTTCTCAAAAGAGCTTAAAATGGTATAAATTTGCCTTATTTACTAGGTCGACACCAGGGCTTTGCCCTTGGTCCCCACTTCCCCTTTAGAAATATATCAAGCCCCCTGTCAGAGAGCTTATCCCCGTTTGGGGAAAATCCTATTGCCACCATTACTAAGAGAAGTCATAAATAGGTTTCTTGGAGTTCTTGTCTTTGGTAACCTCAGATTTTGGTTTCTCTTTGAAGTTGATGTTCCCCTCTTCAAACGTTGATGAAGATATGCGTGTGCTAAATCGATCTCGTCCACGCTCGCGCCGTTTCCGGATAAATGCATGTTTCAACAAATCAGTAGCTGTTGGTCTTTCATTTTGATTTCTGCAACAATTGAATAGAATTGTAAATAATTAATTACATTATTAATAGCAGCTACAGGTTAAAGATGCTAAACATGGATTAATTTTTCAGTCATTAAGATGTCTTATAGAAGTGGAGATGAGTTATACCATATATTTTCGCGTATAAGGCAACCCCAGATTTTGAGAAGAATTTTTGGCATTATTTTATGTCCGGCGTAAAAGACGACCCCCTGTTTTCGAATTCCTTGCTACTTTTTATGGTCTTGATACTGCATCTACCTGGCTAAAAACGGAGCCAAATGTAGGGCTAATCTTCCAAAAAATACTAATTTATTGGCTTTTAAAATTATTGTTTATCAAAATCTTATTTCCACGCATTTAAAATTGCCTTCATTCATACTAAGAGTAGCTTCATTTCAGTAGCAAATCTGCGTGTTATGGACGATCCGCACGATTTAAAAATAAAAAATGTTTATGTGTTTTTTGATCTTAATTTGCTATTTTAAGCATCCTCTTAAACGTGAAAATATACGGTAATGTTATAGCAGATATGAAGACTATATATGATTAGATTAAATTTACAATTTTGATATTGAATATAGTGTATGATATTATAACTATATTATTAACTTTTTGTTTAAAAGCAGACATACCTTAAAAGACACACGCTAACAAAGCTTTTAGCTTCTTTTGAGAACTGTTCAGGCAGTTGAGGCACAGGACCAGAACCTGATCCTATAGAATATATTGCCGTCATAGGAGGCATCTCCGCCCATGGAGGCTTTCGAGTGGCCATTTCAAATACAGTACACCCTATGCTCCTGAAATTTAAAATTCAAAATTATGAGTGCTTATCTCATGTGGTATAATTTAATTGAAATTCTGTAGTAAAGTGATTGAATTCAATTGAATTTTTGCTTTCTTTTATTTTATGTTATTTTCCAATCAATTTTTCTCGTTTTTTTTTTAACCACAACGGCTTGTGTCCTGCTGTAAAGTTATTTCTGTAAATAAATGAATAGAAGATGTTTTCTGATACTGTCTAGCAGATGCAGGAATTTTCAGTGTATTGTATTGTCCTGCTGATAAAAGATAACTATTTATTTACAAAGCATAATTAATTAAAATAAATGATTCTATACCATATGTCAGATTTGGTTCCATGCCCTGTTTCCATGATCACTTCCGGAGCCATCCAGTAGGGTGTTCCTCGCATCGACATCAGAAGACTCTGGCTTTGGCTTAGATTAATGCAAAGGCGCTTGGCACACCCAAAGTCAATCAACTTTATGATACCATTTGACATCAGCATAATATTGGCACCTTTTATGTCCCTGATATAAAGATGACAGGAGCGTTGTGTGCTGAAGAGGAGTCTATCTTCATACAGAGTGCTCAATGCTATAGCAGAGCTTAATATAGAACTGGAGGTCGCTGGAACAGAATGTTGCTACTCGGAGTTTCACGCTATTGCAATCGTCAGGCAACTGATGAAAGGTGAACGTTGTG